TGACGAGGCTATGATGCCTTCTTTGATCTTGAGCCGGCTATGATGCCCGCTGTTCTGGGGGGTCTGGGGGGTCTGGGTGGTCTGGGGGGAGTGGTGCGTGTGGGCGTGTGGTGCGTGAGGTGCTTGTGGTGCGTGTGGTGCGTGTGGTGCGTGAGGTGCGTGTGGTGCGTGTGGTGCGTGTGGTGCGTGTGGTGGTTGTGGTGGGTGTGGTGCGTGTGGTGCGTGAGGTGCGTGTGATGCGTGTGGTGCGTGTGGTGCGTGTGGTGCGTGTGGTGCGTGAGGTGCGTGTGGTGCGTGTGGTGCGTGTGGTGCGTGTGGTGCGTGTGGTGCGTGTGGTGCGTGTGGTGCGTGTGGTGCGTGTGGTGCGTGTGGTGGGTGTGGTGGGTCTGTGGGTCTGTGGGTCTGTGGGTCTGTGGGTCTGTGGGTCTGTGGGTCTGTGGGTCTGTCTTTGGGTGTGTGGGTCTGTGGGTCTGTGGGTCTGTGGGTCTGTGGGTCTGTGGGTCTGTGGGTCTGTGGCTGCGTGGCTGCGTGGCTGCGCGGCTGCGTGGCTGCGTGGCTGCGTGGCTGCGTGGCTGCGGGGGTGCGTGTGCTTGTGCGTGTGCGTGTGCGCGTGCGTGTGCGTGTGCGCGTGTGCGTGCGCGTGCGCGTGCGCGTACGCGTACGCGTACGCGTGCGTGCGTGGGTGGGTGGGTGGGTGGGTGGGTGGGGGTGGGTGGGTGGGTGGGTGGGTGCCTGGGTGGGTGGGTGTCTGGGTGTGTGTGTGTGTGTGGGTGTGTGGGTGTGGGTGTGGGGGTGGGGGCGGGGGTCAAGCTAGCCAGCTCGAGCGAGTCAAGCATGGCATGCCCATTCCCACCCGCCCTCCCACAACATAAGAAACAGTGATGGCACAACTGGTGGCTGCGCGGGCATTTCAGTGTCGCAGGTCCCAGAGCGCTGACTTCCAGGTCCCAGAGCGCCCCAGGAACGCCCCAAGAGAGCCGAGACGCCCCCGAGACGATCCGAGGGGCCTTGAGTCGCCGAAAGATCGTTCCAAGACGCCCAAGATGGCCTCCAGACGGCCGCAGACGCCGCCAAGAAACCGCGGGGAGCCTCAGGAGGCCCTCCAAGAGCCTGGACAAGCAAAAACCTCCCAGGCATTCGTCACCCCAGGGCCTCCTGGAACGCCCCGGCGCCCAATGAATTGGCGAGCTAAAAATGTGCGCCGAGCCAAAGCGGGAGCGCAACTTTGAGACAATTTCGGCTCGGCGCCCAAGCGGGGAGGTCATTTCATTCACTTCGAGCGGGGGGTGGGGCGTGCCGCGCCCAATTCTTGCCATGCACTTGTGCGGGGGGGGCGACAACAACAGCTATGTGGGCAGGGAAAATCAGCATGGCATTGTTTCTGACAAGTAAGGTGGCCACTCCCGCCTTGGGGTTGCCCCAGAAGTCCGCGCGCGATGTGCGCCGCGCCCAATTCCTGCCACGCATTTCGCATCGTCGACGACAAGACAGGCCATGATGAAAGGAAAAACGGTAACTCTGTATTGTTTGTTTAAATCAGGATGGGAGGGCCCGCGGCCCGCATGGACGTCCGCGCGCGATGTGCGCCGCGCCCCATTCCTGCCACATATTTCGCACCGTCGGCGACAAGGCAGGGCATGTTGATAGGAAAAAACGGAAACTTTGTTTTGATATTTTACAGTCAGGATGGGCGGGCCCGGATTGACAGCCGCGCGCGATGCGCGCCGCGTCCCATATGTGCGCCGCGTCCCATTGGTGCCACATATTTCGCACCGTCGGCGACACGGCAGGGCATGCTGAGAGGAAAAAACGAAGATTTCGTATTGATTTTTAACGGTCAGGATGGGCGGGCCCAGATTGACTGCCGCGCGCGATGTGCGCCGCGTCCCATTCCTGCCACGCTTTTCGCATCGTCGACGACAAGAAGAAAGACGATGCTGAGAAGAAAAACGGCCACTTTGGATTGATTTTTTCCAGTCCGGATGGGAGGTCCCGGATTGGGCCCCTATCGGCCGGAATACGAGGGAGGTGGGGGTATATTCGAATAAGGAACAAGGATGTGGGTGTGGGTGTGGGTGTGTGTGTGTGTGGGTGTGTGTGTGTGTGTGTGTGAGTGTGTGTGTGTGTGTGAGTGTACGCGAACCTCCCGAAACGGGAGCCGACACCGAGCAGTGGCACGCCACGCTGACCAGCCTAACTTAGGGGGCCGTAGCAGGTGAGCTTAGGGCGAGGACCAGAGATCTATTGACGCGCCTGCGCATACCCACGGAACTTTTAGAACACGTATTCCTCGTCTGGGACACGCAGGGGCTCCTTGGTGCAACCGGGTCAGTACTTCCCCCGCACCAGGTAGATCCCGTCAATGTCATTTTCGCCCTCGACATCGCTTGCCTGCGTCTAAGAGAGCTCGGGGTGAGCATATCCACCTCCACACCCCGCCTCCCCACCGAGCCCTTCATATCAATCCCACCCCGACCTCCTCCTACACATAATTTCGGAC